TCTATTTCCTCAATTCCTTTGGGGATGTTAGTGGCAAATCATAGTATTAGCATCATATAGTCAGGTTTCATGGTGCCAGAAGACATGGAAAGAATGTGGCAAAAGTTAAAGCTCACAGATGAAGAAAAGGAATGTGTGGAAACAGATGGGATATTGGAGAACGCAGATTCAATGGAGGAGCAAAACTAGATGGTGGGAAAGCTATTTACCACGAGTCTTTTCAATAAAGAAGCCATGATTGGCACTTTAAGGGTTATTTAGAAATTATCGAGAGCGATGGTGGTAACAATTTTAGACAAAATCTTGTTCATATTTAAGTTTGGTTCAAAGAATGATATTGAAAAAAGAGTTCTTAAGGGCTCACATGGTTCTTTTGGAAAAAACCTTGTAGTTTTTAAAGATTACAGTGGAGACCTGAGGCCAACAAGTTATGTCTTTGATAGATCCATGTTCTGGATCAGAGTCTATGGATTACCTTTGAAAATGATGCACAAAATGAAGCTTGGAGTGTTTAAGGGGATGGATAACAACATATCGTATTCAGCAAGAGGAAGTTTTTTTAGGGTGTGGGTTAAGATAGATATCACAAAACCTTTAAGGCGGTTTTGTGTCACTGTCTGGAATAGCAAAGGGGAAGAGTTATGGGGCAGATTAGAATATAATAGGATGTCAAAGTTTTTGTTATATTTGAGGTAAAATAGGGCAACTAATCTAGAGAGCGAAAAGGCAGTAGAAACAGAAGATGAAAATGGAGTGAACCAATATGGTGAATGAATGAGAGCTTCCCTAGTTCAAAAAGGTCACATGGCATACTCTGGAATGACAAAAAATTATAACTAAAGCCCAAGAGATGAGATCATGGCTGAGATGAATCGGGAAGCACCCAAGATAGCCCATGGAGATCTAGGTGCTAAAGAACAGAATGTGACATTACAGATTGAAGAAGAACAAGGTGCAGATGAAGTCAACGGTGGTGGAACGGGGACAAGAAGATGCATTTTTGGCAACGGAGGACTTTTAGGAGGAAATCATGGAGAGAGGATCGTCTATAGGAAAGAAAGCGAGATTTATGGGTTGAAGGGAATCAAGCATATGGCGACAAAATGGGGTTAAAGATGGGACAATCATCCATTATAACCGGAATAATTAATTTGGAAGAACGGAGCTGGCACTACATGGCAGTTGTGTAGAAACGACGTGCAAAGATACTATCATTAGTGACGTGGTTGATTTGCATGAGATGGCAGCTTCAGGGACAAAGAAAGACTTTGAAGGGAATGAATTAAACGTGATTAAAATTGAGGGGTCGAATAACAAAAATGGTGGGAGATACACGTTGAAGAAAAAGGCGAGGGCAGTCTCTATAAGCAATAGGCCGGTAGAAGCAAAATGCCATATTTGTAAAAGGAAGCTTTCAAATCAAGGCAGTGATTTTATGGAGATCGATCATCAGGGGAAGAAGAGCAAGGAAGACGCACAAGAGAATGTAGTTTCACAAAGCATATCAGCTATGACCGGAAACTAATCGCATCGAGAAAGATGAGGTTACTAGGATGGAATTGCCATGAACTTGGGAACTCACATGCAATTCGAGTTCTTCGGGATTTATTGAAGAGGCAAGACCCCATGTAGTCTTTTTGAGTGAAACAAAGCTCCATGAAAAGAAGCTGGAAAGAATAAAATAGAAATGTCGCATGCATGGTTGTTTTGGTGTAAGTGCTGAGAGGAGTAATGGAGGATTAGCAATATTGTGGAAGGAAGATATTAAGCTTAAACTTCTTAATTTTTCTGAAAACCACATTGACATGGAAGTAAATGAAGGTATGGGCACACTTCATGGAGACTAATGGGATTTTATGGTGAACAAGATGTGAGGAAAAGACGCGAATCCTAGGTGTTGATGAGGAGCTTAGCAAGGCAAGCTGATAGACCATGGTTATGTATGGGAGATTGTAATGAAATATTATGGAGTCACGAGAAAACGGGGAAGCGCTGAGGTGAGATAGCCAAAAGGTGGCATTTAGAGAGACTTTAGAAGAAAGTGGACTAGATGATTTAGATTTCAAAGGAAAGTGGTATACATGGGAAAGGGGAAAGCTGCAATCAAAAAATGTACGTGAGCGACCTGATCGAGGACTTGGCAACAAACTCTAGAATAAGTTATTTATATTGACTATGAGGTGTGACATCTAGATGCATTTGTTTCTGATCACTGCCCCATTTTGGTGAATATCGAGAGAAAAAGCCTCATATGAAGGAATCAAAGATCAAAAAAGAGATTCAGGTTTAAGGCAATGTGGATTAAAGAAAGGGAATGTGAACAGATTGTGAAAGAAGCGTGGGAAGGTAATAACACGGAGTCAAGTCAATTCAGGATCAAATGAAGTGGGTTGGTAGTATGTTTGTGGCATTGGCACACATCCATGTTCGGTGCACTAAGAAAGGACATTGAAAGAATTAAAAGGGAGATGTAATAGCCTTATGATACACAACTAACAGATACAATCTTGAAGCAAAAGCAAGACTAAAGAAAGAGTTGAATTTGTGCTTGGGAACAGAAGAAATTTTTAGATGCAAAGGGCTCGAGTGAATTGGCTGAGGGAAGGGGAGAGAAATACTGCTTTTTCCCATGGGCTAGCTTAATCAAGAAAACGTAAAGCACTATAAGGGGCTTGGAAGATAGGAATGGTGTTTGGTGGGAAGAGGAAAAAGAAATTCAACAAATTACCACTGAATACTTTAAAAAGCTATTCGTCTCTGAAAAAATTTATATCTGTGAAGATATATTGGAGGCTTAGACCATTGTGTGACGGACGAGATAAACAAGCTCCTTGCAGATGTCAAGGCTGAGGAAATTCATATAGCCATCAGACAAATGCACCTAACCAGATCGCTTGGACCTGATGATATGCCTGATTTATTTTATCAACATTTTTGGCATATCATTGGTAATGATGTGGTTAAGTTTTGTTTATCTTGTTTTAAGGGGGAAAAGGATTTGGCTGATGTCAATCATACCAACATTGTTCTAATCCCCAAAACAAAAGACCCTTGGAATATCACACAATTCGGACCCATTAGTTTGTGCAATCTCATCTATAAGATTATTTCAAAAGTAGTGGTGAATAGGCTAAAGACTATCCTACCTGTTTTTATTAGTGAATCACAAAGTGCATTTGTTCCAGGTAGAGTAAAAATTAATAATGTTTTAGTTGCTTATGAGCTTTTACATAGGTTGAAAACAAAGAGACAAGGTAGGAAGGGGTTTTTTGCTTTAAAATTGGATATGAGCAAGACCTATGATCGGGTGGAAAGAAATTTTCTTTCAGCAATTATAGTAGGATAATGATTCCATCCAAATTGGATTTCTCTAGTGATGAACTGTGTTGCTTCTGTATCATATTCTCTTGTTGTTAATGGTGGTATTACTAATGTTTTCAAACTGAAGAGGGGACTTCGACAGGGAGATTCTTATCGCCTTATTTGTTCTTGATCTGTACAGAAAGGCTTCTCAGCTTTGTTGAATAAAAGTCAGAGACAAGGCTTGATTCATTGAGTACTAGCCAGTCGGAATGGTCCACAAGTTACTCACCTTTTCTTTTCTAATGATAACTTACTGTTTGCTAAGTTAAACAGGAGCGAAAGTGAGAGGATGAAGCACGTGCTACAGAGATATGGGGAAAGCTCGGGCCAGAAGATTAATTTTGACAAATCGGCTTTATTCTTTAGTAGTAACACTAGAGAGGAACAGAAGAATGACATAAAAAACATGTTTGGAATCCAAGCCACCGTCTGGAAAAATATTTGGGGTTATCGTTCATGGTCGGGAAGGACAAAAAAGGGGCTTTTAGAGAGCTTAAGGACAAAATCAATGCACAAATGAATGGGTGGTGTCAAAGATCTCCTACATAAGGTGGAAAAAAGGTGTTTATAAAACTTATACTCCAAGCCATACCAACTTATGCTATGAGTTGGCTTTTAATGCAAAAGTCCTTGTGTAACGAAATAAATGGATTGATCAGCACTTACTGGTGCTGGCATGACAAGGAAAGAAAAGTATACATTGGCTCAGTTGGATGAAGATGTGCAAATCCAAACATGATAGAGGTATGGATTTCCGAGATATGGGGAATTTCAATAAAGCAATGCTGGCCAAACAAGGGTGGAGGATTCTCACCAACACTAATGCATTGGTTCACCAAGTCCTAAAAGCTAAATATTTTCCAAATGGCTCATTCTTTGATTTTGAGTTAGGGAATCATCTTTCTTTAACCTGGAGGAGCATATGGCTTCTAAAGTAATTCTTCAGCAAGGGGTGAGATGGAAAGTTGGTGACAGGAGATCAATTATATGGACAGACATATGGCTTCCTTTTAATGAATCCTTTGTGACTAAATCCCCAAGAGGCCAATGGAATGGGCTGGTATCTGAAATGATAGATGGAAGAACACTTTGCTGGAAATGGTCCTTGATACACGAAATGTTTCAACCAGAGGAGGCAGTGGCAATCTGTGCATTACCAATTAGCAAGCTGGGTTCTCCTGATACATTAGTGTGGCAATATGATAACAAAGGGATATACAAGGTAAACAGTGGTTATAGGTTGCTAAACTACACTAACATGAGTTGGTGATAGGGCAGAGAACAATGAGAATTATAGGAGAAGCAAAGAAGTATGGAAAGGAATATGGACAGCTCAAGTACCAACAAAGATCAAAATCCCAGTGTGAAAAGTATAGGAATTTTACCAGTGAGGTTTAATTTGGCTAGAAGATAGATCCTAGTGAAGGCTACACGTACGAGATGCAGGTTAAGGAATGAAACAGTGTATCATGCTGTGAATGAGTGCAGCTAGGCAATGGATGTATGGAGGCACCTAGACTATCACTGGGAGAACAACGTTGAGGAGTAGTTGGAACCTATAGACCGGTTGTTTCACGAGATGGGGAAGTCAAATTCACAACTTTAGTTGTTCATTATAACAATCTGGACTATACGGAATGACTGAAACGGGGAGTGCCATGGGGAACCAAGGAGGAATCTTGGTTTGTCAGCAGAGTTTGCGAAGAAATATTTTGGAGTTTAACCAAGCACAGCAACAGCAACCCAGAATGAAGGAAACGGTCCAAAAGAGATGGAAACCCCCTGGGAATGGACTGTGTAAAGTGAATAGAGATAGGAAAGTAGGGGGATTCAGGGCAATAATAAGGGATGCAGAGGGCCAGGTAATGGAAGCACATGCTGACATCCTGCCATGGATAACAGACCCTTTCAGCGCTGAAGCGACTGATGCAACTCATGCTTTAAACTTTGCTGAAGAGATGGGTTTTCATGACATAATTCTGGAAGTTGATGCTTTAACCATATTGAGGAACATGCTGCAGATGAACCAAGAATTTTCTCCCATTAGAGCTTTTACTGAAGAAGCTAGAGCTAAAGCTGCAACATTCAAGAGCTGCACTATACTGCACGTAGGCCATTCTGGTAATGAAGCAACACATAGGTTAGCAAAGATTGCTTTGGGGACTCATGCAGGAAAGTATTGGATTGAGGAATACCCAGAGTTTTTACAGCAAATTGTATCAAACGATGTTGTTTTCTCTGATCAATGAATGAAAGGCTATTTATTTAAAAAAAAAAAAAAACCTTAATAATCAATATTTAGAAATTTTAGAAAATAATGACATGAAAAAATTAATTGATATAGTATTGATCTAATTTGAATATTTGACCATTTTGATATTAATATTAGATGTAAGTATATACATTAATTGCCAATTGTCTAATTATAATGATGAATAGTAAAAAATATTAAAAATATCAATTATTATTTTTAAAAAATTTAATATGAATAATTGGTCAATTAATTAGTTCAACCTTATGTCTATTTTATTTTTAGTTATATGAATTATAATACCAACATTACTAAATTAAATATAATCATATACAATAATTGATTAAATGTTCGATTAGAATGTTGAATTAAAAAAGGTCATATAAACCAATTGATATTAACATAATAACATTGATTATAATCATTACACCAATTGACCAAATTTTACAAAGTTTAAATAGTAAACATCATTGAAAGAGCACTAATTTGATTATTTTGATATTAACATTAATAAAGCATTGTATCTACAACAATAGATCAAATCTCTAATTAGAGTACTGAATAGTAAACATTATTAAATTAAGTAATATAATGGTAATAACTCTAAATTCAACATATGTATTTACTTAAATATAATTAATCTTAATATCAATAAATTATTAAATTCATTGTATTAAAATTATTACTGGTATTAATATACTTCTAAATTATACTTTAATTTACTATTAGTAATAATTAATTCTATCCTCACCTTTATTTTACTTTTAATATATATTAATATATCAATTAAACATCAAATTAAATTAAAAGTTTATCTAATATTAAAATTAAAAAGTAAATAATGTGAAAAACATTAACGAAAAAATAAAAAATGATAGCATTCCCAATTTCACAATCCTTCCTAACAAAAATTTTCAATTCTACAATCGCCTACAAATAAAAATTTCCAAAACCAATACCATATCCTAACTTCCAACTCTCAAGTCGACCGATTGTTCAACTTTTTTCATCTTCATATTTCAATTTTTCAATAATATATTTTAATTTATAAGGTAATATTTTATTTTCAAGTAATTTAATATTTTAATATGTTTAAACACTAAAAAATATAATTTAAAGTTAATTTTGTTAATAATGATATTAATGTTTTCTTCAAAATATCAAATTCAATCAAATGTTAAAATTATAATATAAATTTTTATATTTAAATTATTGTTGTATTAAAATTTAAATTTAAATGTGAAATAAATATAATAAATCAATAAGATATTGTAAATGGTTATTTTATAATGAAATCAAATTTTAAATTAATGATATTATTTTTTACCAATAATTGTCGTAAATATAATAAGGATAGTATTAAAAATCATTTATTTTTCATATTAGTGAGTTTCAGATTTAATTTTGTTTCATAGTTGAATTTAAAGAATCAATATTAATTTTAATGATAATAAATTATTGATATAATTATTTAATAACTATAAATAATAAAAATTTTAAAATTTTTTGTTAAGAAAATGGTTTATTATTTCCTCAAATATAAAAAAGGTTTATCATTTATTTATTTATTTTTATTTTTTAAAAATAAAATCATATAATTATATAATTCAATTTTTTATAGATTTTAGATCAAATCTATCTCAGGTTCAAATCATTGCAAATTCGAGTTATAATGAATTCGGGTTGTGTTAGTTTTAGGCTTTGTTTCATTTAAATTTTTTGAGATTTCAATCTTAAACTTTTATTGATAAATTCAAATTCACTCACAGATCAGTTTAAGTGAATTTTCAAATTTGAGTGACATCCCTAATTATTTTTGTAAAAGTTAGATCGATCTATTCAATATGACTAGTTTAATATATTTGATGATAATTTGAGAATATTAGATGACAATGATATAATTAAGAGTGATTAGATGACAGTCTATAGAAATTATCTCAATTTCATTTAAAAGGTTGAAAAAGTTTTATTATAGAAAAAGGTGAACTCCAAAATCATGTTATAAGACATTTGTTCTCACAATGATACTTAGGAGAATATGTTTCTCTCTAAATATTTTGATATTTCTAAGCGAATCTTCACTTTTTAACTGCTTCAATTACAAATTTATGTGACCTTGGATTTTATCATAGCGTGTCAATAACTTTCATTGATTGTACTCTTCAAAAGTAATTCATGCCTTACAATTCCTCATAAAATGATGGACAGTATTCAATAAATGATTCATATAATAAAAAATTAAAATTATTACTAGTTTCTAAATAATTTTATTATAAAATTATTTTAAATATTTTGTAATCAATGATATCTTTATACAATACGAAACACAGTTCTTAAAGATTATTGATGGTTTATAATATTACACGGAAACACTACTGATAATCATTTTAGTAATTTACTATTAATTCATAATGATAATTTTGAAAGTGGTTCTATACATTATTTTAAATTAAAAAAAATGACTTTGCATTTAGAGAAAGAAATAAACAAGACGAACATTAGTTAGTTTAAACCAAAAGAATCGATCAAAATCGATTAAATTCAATTGATTTGGACAAGTTTATTTAGTTTTGGAGGTGATCAGTTCGGAGGGACGATTTATTTGGTTAATTTCGATAAAGTCTCCGTCAAAATTTGATATACGAATTGATCTTATTAAAATAATTTTACATTTTATATATAAAATAAATATATTTTTAATATTTTTGAAACAAATGGCAAATACATACTCCCAAATGCTTAAAAATGTGTTGAACAAGGTTGTTGAAAATTATTAAAAATGGTTGAAACACTATAAGAAAATGGAAGATTGGTCGCAGTTTTGTAATGATATTTCACTTATAAACGTCACTAGCTTCTGTGTTTTCATAAAACTTAATATGTTTGTTATCAAAACACCACTAAATATTCAAATAGCAGTGCTTTTACTTATAAACGCCACCTAAGACTTTATATTAGCGGCGTTTATCGACTAAAACGCCTTGAATAATCCTATCTTAAAAATTTGAGTGAATACTGAAGGCATTTTTGATAGAAAATTGCTTGAATAATCCAGTTAAAAAAATGGATAGGAGATTACTGAAGGTGTTTTTGGTAGACAATGCCTTGAATAATCCACTGATTAAAAAAATGTATGCGATTATTGAAGGCGTTTTTTGCAATAAACGCTTTTAATAATTCTACCAAAAAATTTCATAGGATTATTGAAAGCGTTTTTCGTCAAAAACACCTTCAATAAATATCCTATCAAAATCTAAGGATCATATGATTGTTAACCATAAGGTCGTAGGTTTGATACGTCTCTTTAGCTTTTTTGGGTTTTTGAAGGGATTATTTGTAAGAGATTATTTTAGGTATTTTCTAGGCAAAAACACTTTCACCAATCGATTTAAAAAATTTTGAAAAGAGAATATTGAAGGCATTTTCAACAAAAAAATGCCTTCAATAATCAATAAAAAAAATTTGGAATGAATTCTTAAAAGCGTTTTTGGCCGAAAATGCATTCAATAATCCAATCAATAAATTTTTATGAGGGATTATTGAAGGCGATTTTGATAAAAAAATGTCTTCAATAATCTATACAAAAAATATATTGGGTTATCAATCTGCTTTTAAAATCTCTGAATGTTTTTTCAGGAGATTGCAACACAATCTTTTTACAGTCAATTGGGATATTAAACCATTCTTAAATAATGTAACACAATTAGTATGAACACATTGAATTTCAATTAAATGATCATTGAACAAATTTTATGAAATAGTTGAATAAACATATCACAACCGACTGTCATATACCATCCTTTAGATCATCAGAAACTCATTACCAATTGGTGTACATAATTGAAATGCTACTCCGACCGACAACACCAATATGAGTAGCCAACTTGGTAGCTCTATTAGGCACAGGCTGTCCATTTTGATTGAAGTCTACGTGAATTTTTGTGTCACTCACTTTAATTTGTTTATTTCATCCCTTTCTTTTTCTTTTTTGGCCTACAGGTATGTCTTGTGCATGTTCAGTAGAAGGAGAATTATGTAGTTCGAAGTCCATAATAAATTATGATTTTGAACATAATTATATGAAATATACTAAAATAATTATCTAAATTTAACATTGTATATAATAAAATACAACCAATAACATACTACATACAGAAACACCATTTAGCAAACTAATTAGCAATGTGTTCAGAAACATCATTCAACAAATCATTTAGAAACATCATTTAGGAAACCATTCAAAAACATCATTCAGCAAATCATTCAGCAAACCAATATCATACAATACCATTCAACAAACCACAATATTAAAAAAAAAATACACAAAAAGAGCATACATGCAATAAAAGATGCTTGGACGACTAAGGTTATGGTGAAATGAATAAAAATATATATATGCATATGTAAATAGTAAGGAACCAAAAAAATATCTTTATCCAATAATATAAATAATACAGTAAACAAAAAAAAGGACATATCGATAAATAGAGAGTGAGCGCCATTAAGTTGTTGAAGGTCGGTGGTGAAGATAGAGATAAAGAAACCAAAAGTCAATCTAAAAGTGTTTATGGGTTTGGTTTGGTTGATTAATACAGCTTTTAATCATTTTCTGTACTAACAATTTATGATTCTGATGTTCAAGATAAGGGAATGAATATAAAAGTTATATGTGAATGTGTTTTTCTAGCCAAAATGCCTTCAATAATCCCCTTAAAATTTTACTAGGAGATTATTGAAAACGTTTTTTATTAAAAAAATACCTTTAATAATCCTAAAAAATTTTTAAAAAAAAATTATTGAAGGCGTATGATGCAAAAAAAAAATGCTTTCAATAAATTTCTCTTTAAAATTAAAGTGAATTATTGAAGGCATTTTTGGTAAAAAACCATATTCACTAATATTCACCTGATAAAAATAGAAAAAATTATTGAAAGCGTATTATGCAGAAAATGCCTTAAATAAATTTCTTCAAAAAATTAGAGAGAATTACTTAAAGCG